CTGGACCTTACCTGGGACTCAGATCAAGATTATGATGAATGTGTGTATTACCATGAAGGAAGTGATCTATACGCCGAAGACGTCGATGGTCAGATGGCGGTATTGCCGGAAGTACCCGTGACGACGGAAGATGTGAAGATCAAAGACATTCAGCTTTGTGGATCTGATAATCAGACTCCAGAAGAAATTGATCGACTTCGCCAAAGGATCTGGAAGTTCCGACATCTCTTGATCGGCAAGGGTAATGCCCTTCCACCAGCGGCTAGAGGTGTGATGTGTGACATCGACGTCGGGGGAGCGAAACCTATCGCTCTCAAATGTCGTAAGCTGCGGATTCAGTTCAGGGAGAAGTTGGCGGACTTGATCAAGGGGCTATTGTCTGCCAAGATGATCAATTACTCTAGATCGCCGTGGGCTTCCCCGATCGTGGTGATCATCAAGAAGAATGGGGTGGATATCAGGCTATGCATTGATTATCGGTTGGTTAATAGCCTAACACAACTGACGGTATACCCAATGCCCTTAATCAACGATCTACTCGAAGATCTGGAGTCGACACTTTGGTACTGCTCCTTGGACATGGCAAGTGGATTTTGGGTAGTGAAAATGACGGACCGTGCTCGGTTGATCTCGGCTTTTATCACTCCCTTTGGGTTATTTGAGTGGAATCAAATGCCTTTTGGCTTGAAGAATGCGCCCCAGATCTACCAACGTATGATCGACAACGCGCTATATGGGCTCACCCGGATCCCGGAGTCTGAAGATCACGGAAGTGCTTTGGATGTGTTCGAGGACGGGGTACCGGTGGATCCGGGCAAGCCATCGGTGCTTGGTCGCAGATCATATATCGATGACATCCTGATCCCCGCCAATAACTGGGATCAGCTATGTGACCGAGTCGAGGGGTTGCTCGAAGCATGTGATAAGTGGAATCTGTCAATCAGTGTGGTTAAAAGTTTCTGGGGAATGCCTAAGGTGGAATATCTGGGTCATAAGGTTTCCCACAATGGACTGGAGGCGAATCCGAAAGATCTGTCTGCGTTGACTGATCTAGCCTTTCCAGGATCACTCAGAGCCATGCAATCATTTTTGGGAAGTCTGAACGATTATAGCCGATTTATCGAAGACTACGCGATCTACGCGTCGGTTCTGTACGAATTGCGAGAAATAGACTTTGCTGTGATGACGAAGGAGGCTACCCAAGCGCGGATCCAACAAGTACTGGAAGGGGAGGACGCAGATCAAGGATTGCAGGAAGATCATGGTGTCGACCACCGAAAGACCTTGGATCTGGAGGCGCCCGACCTTATTGAGGTGGATTCGCGGTGTATCCACGCCCATCGGTCTTTCAACGTGCTTAAAACCAGGATTGCTACTACCCCGATCTTGCGACATTTTGACCCAGATCGGAAGGCCACGGTGGTGGTGTACGCTAGCGATTGGGCCATCTCGGGAGCGTTGATGCAAGAATACGACCAGATCTACTACCCCGTGACGTTTGCGAGCCGCACTCTGAAGTCGAACGAGCTAAACTACGGGATCGCGGAGAAGGAGGTATTGGCCCTTCTTAGGATCCTGGATCTTAATTACAATGCGTTGGTCGGACGTCCGATCCGTGTGTTAACCCGACATTCGACGTTGGCGTGGCTCTTCAGATCCAAGGACGGTTAGGACAATGGGCCGCTCTGTTGTCGCCTTGGACACTTGAGATCACCAAGTGTGTCAAAGGAGAGGATGAGATCTTGCGAGCGCTGGCAGCCAGCATTACCCCTAGATCAGAAGTGGATAAGGCATTGATCTCAATCGCCCCCAAAAAAAGGAGCCCAGACGTACGATCCAACTCCGATCCCCACTATCGGACGAGACGAGGAGCTATATGTCGTCAGCTTCGACGGATCAGCCCGTGTCAAGAGAGGTGGAGGCGCCTACAGCGCGATCTTGTGGAGGCTTCCCGAATGGAGAGTGTTGAAGGCTAGATCATGATATGCCGAAGGCTTGACGGTGAATGAGGCAGAATACCATGGTCTGCTACTATGTCTGGATCTGCTGGAAGATCTGGATCCACAGCGTCTGGTGATCTGCGGAGACTCAAACCTGGTAATCCGGCAAGTACGAGGGTAAGGCGCCAGATCTGACACTGTTACGTCAACGAGCCCTGAATCGACTACGTACGTGGCCAGATCATGAACTATTGCATGTCAAACGAGACTGGAATGGGAGTGCTGACAGCCTAGCGAGTGCTGCTCTACAACGGCAGTGTGGGATCGAGATAGATTCTGACGCGGAGATCCAGGATCTCATAACGTTAAATCGATTGGATGAGATCCTGATAGTGAAAATTGAAGAAGAGATCGCACAGGTATCAGTTGTGACGACCCGATCTAAGGCTAGATCGGGAGTGCGTGTGGGATCTGATCC